TCTTTCCCTTCCCTGGAGGGTTTTCATCTTTGGCAAATAACTGTCTTGAGCCTAATTTCTTCTACCTGTTTCTCTCTACCAGCCAGCCCTTGCCCTTGGTGTTGCATACTAAATCTTCCCCGATACTCTTAGTACACCATTAAACCCTGAATCCTATTCTCAGAATATCCTTCTTTCTTTTACTGTCTGTTTTGCATCCAGTCTCCTCTCACTGAGTCTTGGACAAAGAATCTAAGATAATGGTTCCTCCCCTCTTCCCATCCTGAGATGATAGATTCATGGACCCTGGGATATTTCATCACTTCTATCATTGCAGGATTGTTCCCCTCGGGAGCTTGTCTAGCAATTTGTCCAGTCTAGTTTTGAAAGTCCCAAGCTTATTTTCCCCTTGGGAGATTCTGTGTTCTTCCTCAGAACGGTAGGCATCCTCCTATAAAGGGTGAGGAGTGCTAATGGCAGAAACCTTGTTCTTTGTGAGATACTGCTTCCTCTTCCGAAGAGATTATAAAAATTGCAGCTTCTCTTCTATGCTGTCCATGGGCAGTCAGCATTGTAATGTCTTAGTTGCATGGAAGTTTCCTTAAAAAAAGATGAACTAGATACTGCTTTGCCATAGCATTATGCAGATGTTAAAGTAGGACCTTTTGATTGCTAATTATTCTTCATTTATATTTGGGCACTCTAACATCACTAAAATGTGTCTTGCTTTTTGTAATCGGATGTAATTATTGGAATCCTTCTGGTGGCTCCGAGCCTTCAATTAAGTGGTGATAAACTGTCTGTGCTGAGGCTGGGGAGCACAGAAAAGGCTACCTGAAGCTGGTTACAGTACCCAAATTGAAAAATCTGGGTTTTTTCTTCCTCTTGCGTTCCCTGGGTTTTTACTGTTTTGTTCTGATTTCTAGCCTCTTCTATGGAACCAAGATGGTTCTTCTGATTGGTGATCAGTGACTTCCCCATCTACTTGTCTTTGTGGGGATTTGAAGAACTTTGTTCCTCTTCCCATCCTGAAGCTCTGATTTGTGTGCCTTAATAGTGGACATACCTCTGACATCAGCTCTTGCTATACCTCCTCTTGGTATGAATTCCATTGAGGGCATGCCTTTCTCTCCGAGTCCCCTTTGGCTACATTCTCTATCATGATAAAGTCCAAGAACTCCATGTACCTGGATTTTTAAAGTGGTTTTACTTTTTTAAGCTAACCTATAAGCATATTCTTGCTTGCTGTGCCTTACACCATAGAGATTTTATGCAGAATGTACAAGAATAAGTTCTTTTAAATGAAAGTATGTTATTCTACTTCTCTTTTGTTTGTTACTGGGAGAAGGTTGTCAGTATTTGGGGTACAGCACGGGAGCCAGGAAATCCTAGGCTCTCCCAGCTCTGGGAACCCTGCCATGGCTGAGGGCAAATGACTTAAACTCCCTGCCTCAGTTAGTTGCTTGAACAAGGCAGATGACACTTGCCCCATCAGAGTTTTTGGTGTAATGTTTCTCCTTGCACAAGTTTTCCACACCATACAAGCTGCCAATACAACTGGCTTTCTCGTTGGCAGTCTTGGTAGGGGCTTAGCTTTGGAGCCCAAACTGCCATTTCACCCATTGAGGTGATCTCTGTAGGTCAGGGTGAAGACACTGTAGCATGGCAGCCTGTCAGAACCTTGGACTGTGGCTTTGCTCTCTGGTGCCACGGATCCAGGATACTTCACCGTCACGGTCTAGTGGCTGTAACACAAGAGTGCAGGTTTCCTTAGCACATGGGTTCAGCTGTGTGTATTAATGGCTTTAAAGCAGAAGATCCTACAGTGAAGATACTGGAGAAGGGCAGAATATCAGTGTTTGCTGAAGTTGGGCAGAACTTAAACTCAGAAACTTTTTTTTTTGTAAATTGCTGGTGAATTTACACATCTGCCAGATCATTTCCCTCTCCAGCAGGCTTCAACTTTATTGTAGAGTAGCAAATATTTTAGTGCCTTTGCCAAATTAATCCTGTTCTCTCCCTTTCCCCAGCTCTCGCAAGCCCGCTGCAGCTCCTTGCAGCCCAGGCCAGCTCGTCCACTCCTGTAGTAGTCAGCCGGGTGTGTGAGGCAGGGACCGAAGACTTAGGAGCATCATCGGGAGAGCCTGATGTCAAAAGACCCCGGATAGAAGAGGCCGGCGGAGCAGTCTCCACTCAACCTGGGGTTATCACGTCTACAGCCCCACAAGGACAGGCAACCAACGAATGAGGAACCGGTGGGCAGAGCTGGAATGTCATGAGGGTGGGTGGCATAAGCCTCGAAAGCAGCTTTCGAAGAAGAAAACAATCTGCAACCGCAATAGTCTGAATAAAGAGCTCGTTTTAAGATTAGATTTTAAACGGCAGGTCAGCCATCTTTTAGACCCTCGAGGTGCCAAAAAAGAACGAGAAAAACCTTCCCAACTACCTGTACCCGGAACTTGGTTCTGCCTTTAATTATGGGATTTTTTTCCTCTTTTTAGATTAAAAAAAAAAAAAAAAGACAACTGATTGTATGACTGCTGGGATATTTTTAAAGTATCTTGCCCCTTTTTTGCTCCAGGGGGATGGGAGTTGCAGTTCAGCATCTGAAGGAATGCATCATAGACGTATCTGCTCCCTGGGGAAGAAGGCTTCTCATTTCTGATGCCTTAATACTCTGCTTCTCAGAGCTTTGAAACCGAGGACCATTTCGAATAGCCCCCAGGGTGGTCAGTGCTGAAAAATGGGTGCAGCTTCTCATAACAGCATTAAAGTGGTACCAAACTGAAAAAAAAACAAAAAAAAAGCCCAGAATGATTTTTAAGTTGAAACATCATTAATATGAATGTTTATTTATGTGAGGATTTGGGATGGGAGCTCTAGGGCTCAACCAGCTGGATCTTCAAAATGC